TTATTAAATATTAATTTCTACATTTAAAAACAAAAATCCAATTCAAAATTTAAAAATTTATCTTATTAAATATTGATATATAAATTTGGAAACTAATTATATTATAACATTTAATAAGGTAAATTTTTAAATTTTGAATTAAATTTTTGTTTTTGAATCAATATTTAATAAGTTAAATTTTTTACTATTGAATTAGATTTTTTTAGTACATGTTAGATTTTAATTAGATGAAATAATGTTAGTTATAATTAAAATTTTACTTTTTTTAAAGTCAAAATTGATACATCATATCCTATATATATATATATATACATCTCAAATTTTAAAATAAATTAGAATCACAACATTAAATTACATCATTTTATTTAATTAAAACTTAATTTAAAATTTAAAAATACATCCTATTAAATGTTAATATTTAAATTAGAAACTAATTATAAAATTTAAATTTAGATATCAATATTTAATAAAGTGAATTTTTAAATTTTAAATTAGAATCTTAGGGTACATTACCTCCTCGATATATAAGGAAAAGGGACAATGATACATACATTTTACACAATTATATATTTCGTTATATACTAATGGAAACCATACATTTTAACGATATAAGTAACGAAAACCGTCAATTTTAATGGCGTAAGTAACAAAAACTATTAACTTTAACTGCACAAGTAACGAAAATCGTTAGTATAACGGAGTGTGTAATTTTACATGGTGTACCAATCATTTTCCAAGAAAAAATATATATCAATCTCTGACTTTTAAAATAAATTGGAGTTTCAATTTTAAATTATATAGTTTTATTTAATTAAAACTTAATTTAAAATTTAAAATTTCATCTTATTAAATGTAGATACTTAGATTTGAAAACTGACTATTTTTTAATATAGTCAGTTTCCAAATTTAGATATTCACATTTAATAAGGTAAAATTTTAGTTTCTCAATGTAAATTGAAACTCTAAAGTTTTTTAAAGTTGAAAATTGATATGTATTAATTTCATATACATAGAGAGAATAGTAAACATCAACCTGTATTGCAAAAGATTAGGCAGAAAAATATCCTAAAACTACATTATTTTAATAAAGTCATATCGAAAAAGATTAATATATCTTAATTATTTTTAAAGTAAAAATAAAGCTATTTTAACATTTTTATAGTATTTTATTAAAGAACGTATTTTTTAAAAAAAAAACTTACCTAATTTTCTACTAATCTAACTA